GTTTGTGTTTTTTTTTTTTTTTTTTTTTTTTTTTTTTTTAACATGAAGGATCCACTTCTGCACTGCACAAGGCACTCAGTGCAGATCCCCAGGGCTGCTCCCCTCCTCCTGACACAACCACCTCGAGAGAGCACACACCGGAGATGACAAAAGCAGGAACAAACAACGAGAGCTCTGGGTACTTGGTGTATTTAACGCGGTGCCATGTAGAGCAGACAGCTTGCATATGAACAGTCGCAGGTGCCAGAGAAGGAGGTAACCTAGCAGCATTCCAGTTCCTCACCATTTGAAGGACAATTTGTAACCCAGTGGACCTGGGCCAGGGGTAATTACACTTCATGCCAAACTTTAATCCATGAAAACTACTGATTCTTAACCTTTGGGAGCTTCGTTCACTTTAGGCAACTTTTCCCTTAAGTGTCAAACGCTGGCTTCAAAGAAGCAGATTTTTTTTTTTTTTTTTTTTTTTTACATTCCGACATTCAGAGAGGCTAAAACTCGAGAGGACCGTGCTGGGCACTGGGCTTGGGACCCAGCTCAGACACGGACATGACAGATTCGGCATCGTAAGGAATCCCCGAGTTCTTCAACCACGATGAATTAATGCTCGTCTCTGAAAGGAATCTAGTTGTATAAAAGGGAACGTAACGTCCAGGTGACTTTTTTTTTTCCCCTACCCAGTCCAGATTAGTGCCAGCTAAAACTGCTGTTGGTCATACTCTGCTATCAGTTTTTTAATATGAGCCAGTTTGTTGTGGAGGTATTCGCAGCGGTTCTTCTCTTGGCTGTAATTGGGGTTAGTCTGTAAAGAAAAAATGAAAATGCAGTGACAGAAGGCAATTCCTCCAGAACTCAGCAACAGCTACGCTGAACCCAGACAAGGCTGTCAGACCTCACAGCATAAATAAATGACCAAGGAGTGAAGCTTTTTTATCTGGAAGAGTAGAAACCCATTTAAAATGGACCTACTCTGTTCAAAAACAAGGCAAAGAACAAAATCTCTTTTCATCAATAACCAGCTCCAGGGCCTCAGTACAGGGAAAGGAGTGCACCTTGAGCAAGGCTCAGCCTAACTGGGAGCAGCTGGGCCGGGCACACTGGCTTCCAGCAAGCATCACCTGCCCTTTGCCCCCATGTCAGCACTGAGTTGTGCAAGCTTGGGAGCTTTAGAACAAAGATGAACTTGCAACACACGAGGAATCTCTTCAAAAAACTCCTAAATCCCTCAGCAACAACAGGGCTCAGGGACATATTTGTAGATTTAAAGCGCAAACCTGCTCTTAGTGTCTGGATGTCCCAGCCTTCCTCAGCGTGTCTACCTCATCCAGCTAAATCATAAATCCCACCAGCCAACAACTCTCATTTTACATGCACACGAGGAGATGGATGAAGTATTCTGTGTGCCTCGCACACCAAAAAGCCCCAAAGGACTGTGTACCCAAGGGATTCATCGTACTAGAGACTGTGCCCCAACCATCCCAACCACACCAGCACACCCCAAGATCTGGAGGATCCCGTCACCACCCAGCCTGGGCATCTGAAATAGCATCAGTTCTCTCCTTGAGGGGATAAAGGCACTTATCTAACACTTCATTCCTGTGCTAGCATCACACTAACACAGCTGAACGCTCTCTGGGATGCAAGGAGCAGCATCAACTCCCCCCAAACCCCTTCCGAGCCACTTATTGGGTGAGCTCGAGCTGAACAAAGATCTGCTAAAATGCTTTGGAGACTGGGTTTCTCACTTGGCAACTACTCATCTCTTTCAGTCACTACAGGCATCACTCAGAAGCCTTTTTTGTGGCCGATTATTTTTACTCACCTTTTTAATTTTCCGATATTCCTGTAAAATTTGATCATGGATGGTCTAAAAAGGAAAAGACAGCTCATTATCTTCAAAAGAGCCAACAGTCCTGCAACTCACCGCAGTAGGCAAGCATTTACTGATGGCTCAACACACGCATTTCCTCCAAATATCAAGCAAAATCTACTCCCTCCACGACCTCCCCTGTGAGATCTGATGGCTAGAACCAGCCTTGCTGATTCCATTCCTATACTGGTGCTGACACCAGAAGCACTGGAAGGATCAGGCCCTGTTTCCCAGCCATGAGAACTACCTGTAACAGGCACTTAAGCTGTCAAGATAATTGACATTTTCTCCACACCTCAGACTAATTTTTATCCCGAGATATAAAAACTATTCAGTGAGGAATCACTGAATTTCCCAAAGAGAGGGGAAGGGCGTTTGAGGGAGGGACCAGTGCTTAGCACAATAGGTGCTCTGTAAAAAAAATCTGCTTATTATACTCAACGAGACTTACTTTCTCAAGATATTGAATAGTTAAAGCTCTTTTAAAATCAGTCTGACAAGTTGAATAATGCTACATTATTAAGATCAAAGATTCCAGAGAAACAGATGACCCCACACTAACTCCCCTTCCAGCCCCGATACGCTGCCATATGTGCAAATATGAGTTTTCTGGCTGGGATACACTAATAGCTTCCAGCAGCTTTTGGCTAAAGACGCCAATTGTCTCACTGAGGCCTTTCCTTGTCAACAAGTACCATGATGTGTGCTCCAGCTTGAAAAACGAAAGAACACAGAGCTGTTTTAAGAACAGTCTACAAAGCTGTCAGCTGTGTGCACGTTCTGCCTCCACCAGTTTCGGGCTCTGGGCAGTATGTTTTAGACACCAACCCATCCCAAACAGCCCCGCAGACAGAACGACTAAAAAGAGCTTGCAGAATTAGTTTTTCAGAAGATATATTTCTGTTTCTACCTTATATTCTTCAGAGCCCTGCAAAAGCTGCTTCAGCTTGGCATCTAACTGCGTAAATCGTCGAGTTATCCTCTCTATCCGGGCGTGCAAGTCTCTGTACTCGTTGTATTCTGCATTGAAGTCATTTTTGTAACTCTGACGCTGCTCCGAAGAGGAAATGGCTGCGTATTTTCTGCAGGGAGAATAATTTAGTTAATTGGTTTATTTAAGTCTTCTCTCCAGACAGCGTGAATATTGCAATGCCAAAACCAGGATAAGTCAGTCTACCAGGTGACTGCATCTGAAAACAGTCTCTTGTGATTTACATTATAATAGCACGGAGGCAACTGTCAGGATTATTGCCTTGACCTCTATGTAAAACAAGACAGTGTTTGCTCCCAAAATTTCTTATCTATGCCAGATAGGGTGGAATATGCAGGTACAGCAAAGCCTGGGAGCAGCTGAGGGTGTAGGAGGACATTCAGTTACTACTGCTACAGCTTTTCTAACTCCTGCTGTCCCGCAGAACATGGAGTTCTGCATCTGTGCCAGACCTTGGAACAGCAGGAATACGATGCTTCCAGTGTTGAGTCTTTAAAGGCACACAAAAAGCATTCAGCTATCGTTGCAAAATGCTCACAGTACGATTATGTGGCAAGCACACGACACGAAACCATGTTGAACAGACTGACCGTATTTCCGCCACCTTCTGAAGATGCTCAATGTGAATCGAACACAAGAGCCCACATATTAACAGAAGCGCCTTCTGAGGCCCTTTGAAAGTTACTCAGCTCAACAAAAAGCTATTAAACCTGACATTTTGCAGAAAGCCCAGCAGCCAGTCCTCTCTGATAGTCAAACTCATCTTTCTGTAGGTGATGATTCTAATTTGCCACCTTACACTGTCTGCAGCAGCACCAGCTTGGTGCATGAACATATATAAACTACTTTAGGTGTCAAATTAAGGGAAAACTTTGACTCTGTTATCCTAGATACGCTCTAGCCTTCAAGAACTGACTCCTTGCTGGTATAAATAAGCATCTACATGGGATATGCTATAAGGAAGCTGCCTCACTAGTATGAAACACAGACCTCCATGATCACAGCAGCTGTGACAGCTCTTATAATTTAAGGAGCTGACCATCAGAACAGTCAGATTGTACCAAAAGGTGAGACAAGGGACCTGACAGGAGTTCATAAACTTTACACTATTTCTGTGGATATCGATTGAGCAGCTGTAATATCCCTCTGTCAGGAGGATCAGCACATCTGTTGCAAGAAAAAGAACCCACCCCAGCCATCTGCATTCTTGTGAAGGGTACTGGAAACACCAGCCCGGAGCGGTTGGTTGTTGGTTCGTGCAGCCCAGCGAACCACAGCTTTGTCACCATGCAAAGATCCTTTATATCCTCCAGTCAACTCCAGGGACTGCTCCTGCAGAGCCAAGAGCCAACACTACCTCCTCTTCCCTCCGAGTGATCGCAGCGTGGCCAAACCAGATCTGATGGCACTCGAAGCCCAGGCTGAGACGAGCACAGGGAGTATCACCCACAGCCACGCTTCTCCGCTCCCGTAGAGCTTTGTTCGTAACAGGCTGGGGTTTATGCAGATTTTTGGCTTTGTGCACAGTGATTTTTGTGCTTCAGCAGACAAGTGTATTGTTTAATTAACCTCAAGGGGATCTGATTAAAAAGTCAAGAGGTGAAACTACTCACATCCTAACCCATGGGTTATAACCTCCCCATGAAGAATATTTCACTGGTTTATGTAGATGATCTTGGCTCTGAACAGGGGAAGAGTTAGCTAACCTCTCAAAATCCTTTCTTGCCCTATCTTCCATAACATTAAAGCCGACAATTTCCTTTCAAAGTTTCCAACTGTAACGTGGAGATGTTTAATCCTTTCAAACCCCTTCAAGGTATGCAACGTTTCTTTAAGTACTTGAACAATCTATTTATAGAAAGATAACCTTGAACTCCACGAGGAGGTAAAGAACAGATAAGTTTAGTCTCAGAAACTATCTGCAAAGTTGGATTTACTCTTTTTCTTTAAGGCCACCTTACAAAGCTCTATCTAGTAATAACAAAGTCCAACAAAAAACCCCAGCACATTGTGATTTTTAGCTTGAAACATGATCCCAAAGTGATGAAGCAACTGATAAATATACTTACAATAAATAATCTGGCATTTCTGAAGTTGATGTTGGTACACTAGAATTATTGCATGTTCCATTTAAACCTGAAAAAATAAAAACTTGTTTATAGCTCCATGCAATTAAATTGCAAATTCATAAAGTTATCAGCAATATACAGGTTATCGAATTCTGAAGGATTCTTGTTTTGCTTTGAGTTGACAAAACCAGAAGATCCACAATAAGGTGGTTGAAACTTCAAGGCTTCTCTAGTATTTGTCTGTCAGCAAAACACTATCAACATTAGCCAATGCACTGAGTAGCAAAAACCCTTCACTTAATTGGTTTATAAACACTGCCTGCAGGGAGGGATAACACCGGTATCACCACAGCTACAGTGCAAGACACATTTATGAGTCCAGATGAGCAGAACAGAGGCTGAGCAAGGTGCACATTCTTTTCCCCTGATTCTATACTAGACTCCTACTATTAATACTGCAAGTTCAGACTCCTACTATTAATACTCCAGACTCCCACAGGGTACCAGAGAGGTTTAGAAGGCACACAGCTTTTTTCTCACAGAGCCCCACCGCGCTGGAAATGAATCAAAGTGATCTCTGCTCTATGAAGGTGAAGAAATGTGAATCAAGCAGGGCTCAGCTAAGAATGTTTAGGAGCTTAAGCAAAGGGACTAAAGACCTCAGGAGGAATGGGATTCTGAACGTGAGCCTGAAACTGATCTCATGCTCACCCTAAACCCAACACTGCAGCACTAGTTTGGAAGAAGCAAGCAGCTGGATACAGGTTTGAAAGGGGGATATTTCTCCTAAGCTGTGTATTTATATTGAAAGCCCTAAATCAGAAAGTCAACTGCATCCATGAGAAGGCAGCAAAATAAGAGGCAAGTGGAGAAGGCTGTGAAGGATTTAATCCTTTACAAAAGTGTATTTCTCCTTTCATCTTCTTTCCAAGTCTGTTACTTGGAGCAAGAGTATCTTGATTGCTGTGCATTTGGGGAAATCGTGCAAAGGTAAGTGCAAGCCCCACAGCTCACCTGTCCTACACTCACCCACACCAGTTTACAGTTACTACCCCAGACAAACTGCAGGGAGCAGGAAATGCCCAAGTAACAAACATAGGGACATAAAAGCAATAACCTAACTCTATTTTTTAAAACCTGATTTTTCTCTGGATTTCCACGGAAAGGCTTTCCTGAGAAGAGTGAAGAATGGCAGAAAAGACAGTGTCATTAACATCCCAGTCTCAAATTCCTACTGCAGACAATTCTGCTTTCATCTTTATGTGACCATCAGCGTGAAAGATGCTGAATGCGGGCAAGGAAGATAGTGGAGGAAAACGGGAGAAAAGAAAGTTTATTTTGCCTATGAGTGCCACCTACTGACTGCTGAAAGGACCCCAAAGGCCCCTCCACCACCTCTTGAACAAATCTCTCTGGAGAAAAAAAAAAAAAAAACAAACCTCCAGTCCCTGCAGTCCCTGGCCCAAGGGGGACTTAGGGGAGGCTGTCAGCCACTTGCTGTGGACAAAAGGAGCAGGATGAGGCCCTTGCTATCCGCATGAAGTAAGGTGCAGAAGGAAAGATCCCAATTCAGATGTGAGTTGGCTGTACACAACCCGAGCAGCCACTGACCACATCCTGTTTATGATTAGTCCCAAGTCCAGCTCGGATTCGTTACCTTGCATACATCAGCTGTGCACCAGGAACAAAACCCGACTCCTACTAATTAACAAAAAGCCAGTCATTAAACTGTTTTTAAAGCAAAGCAGAAAAAGATGGTAAAGGGTGAGCAACTTCATGAAGAAGGAATTCAGGGTATTTTGGTTTTTGTACGAAACGCTGATAAAAATGTGCATCTAGAGAGAGAACGTGTGCATATCTACCCACTGCCACTCATGACACGAGGTACATGGGGAAGAAAAACAACATTCACAAAAAAACCTACAAAAGTAAGATCGAGTAGAAGTAGTATCTGAAGAGTGGGGTTCTGCAGTGCCACACGATGATCAGAACGTCATTAAAAATCACCGGTGAGCAATCAAAATGCATTTTGCAGGCGCTACAAAGACTGTAGGGAAGGAGAGAACTAGCATCGTCATAACCCCAATGCCCAACAAAGGTCTCCCTTTCCAGGAATTCCAACAAATTTCCAGTTCAAGTTACTGTCCCTTTTGGGCCAAAACTGGATGATTTTCCAGCATGAAGAGGAACTTAGAAAGTAGTAACGGGGCAAAGGAAAACAAGATGGATGCAAAAAAGTTCAACAACAGATCAAGACCGCAATATCGTTGAAGGCTGCAGGGGAAGTTCCATCCACTGCTCTGGGGGGTTGTAACAAATCCTGACAAAAGAGCAGAAAACAGGAAAGCTGCAGACACTGGCAAGTGAATGGATTGCATTAGCCAACCTGTATTCCCTGCTCTAACTGCTAAGAGTGTGCAGAACTGACTTAGGAATACCCTGGTTTGATGGGAAACATTTTCATTGCATCTCAACAGGTAACAGATTCCCTGTTGTGTTAGTCCTCAAAGAAAGAAATTCAGAGTAAGAGTGGGATACAACAGGGAAGCTCTTTAAGCCTGAAGGAGCTGGTTGTAACACTGTTCTAACAACATTTATCACAAGACTTATCTATCATTGCTTTTGTATCCAATATTAAAAGCTTTTGTGACTAACTTTTCATTACCGAGTTAAAAATCAATACAACAGTCATCACAATACCCAACACAAGCAGAAGAGCTGTAAGTAATCAAGCAGCACTGCTTTTTTCCAACAGATCTTGATGTCTGCCTTTCATCCCCATATATTAATACAGCTTTTAATTTAACAAGGAGAAACATGACACGGTCTGAGGCAGTTCCAAACAGCACGAAAGGTTAAACAGGAAAAACCTGATATCCTCTTCTGAGAGGAAGCACATTTGTTGATTTGGAGGTAGGGACAGCGATATTATTTCGTTAACCACACAGTCTCTGTGAGTGGACACACAACCTCTTTCCTTAAATAGATTTGGGGCAGAAACCGTAGGCAGTCGATACCAATATTATCTTAGCACGAGGCGTACAGGAGGACCTCTCAGACCATACATACCTGTGACCTGTTCCTGGGGAACACTAACTAAGTCAGCATTTTTTATTACTTCACAGTCCTGCTTCTCCTCTTTGCATTTCTCTTCACTTTTCTTCTCCTTTCTCTCCTTTTCCTTGTCTTTGTGCTTTTTGGATTTTTTCTTGGTTTTTACGTACGAGCTGCAATTGTGCTTGCTCGTTTGGGGACAGTCTGTTGACAAAGGATGAGTCAGTCTGTCAGCCGTCTCCGGGTTCTCACAGTCTCTGCCATTGTGAGTCAGGTCGTTGCTGACATCCGAAAGGGGATCGTGAGGCCTCGGCAGCTCCAGCACCGGGAGGCTGGAGCTGGAGCTCACCGACTCCGGCAGAGCCGGCGGCAGGGCAGGGGCAGGAGCGTCCTTCCCGTTGGAGGAATTGGAGGAATTCAGTTTCCCGTTGAAAGTGGGCTGAGTTCTGTGAGCCAAATGAGAGATCCTGGGCTTTTTGTTGGCCAGGGGATCAATAAACTCCAGAGGCTGGGATCGTTTCTGAGGAGGAAAAAAGGATAAAAAAAAATAATCCTGAAGTCTTGAGGCCCAAATTTTGGATGCTGTTACCACTAGGTGGTGGTGCAATACCAGAGAACAGGGGAATATCCCCAGTAAAAGAGCTCTGCTATCAGTGAGAGCTGCCAGCCAGCGTCCCGGCTCAGAGGCTGGTCCTGGACACAGGCTCCAGGACCACCAGGTCCTACAGAAGCTGATCCATCCCAAGCTGCTTCCCGACAATCCTGACAGCCGCTCCGGAGCTCACGGCTTGGTGGGAGAGCTCAGAGAAACCCACCATCACGTCAGCAATTACTGATCTCCTGCGCTGCTCATGCACGGGCCATGTAACCCAGTCTAATCTCACTGTATCTTATTTCAAATCCAGCCCTTTAGAAGTAAAACCCTGTCCTCCACCCTACTCCTGCCCCAGACACTTAAAAAATTGGAACCACCATAAAAACATCTGTCCTTCTAGTCCTGGCATGTCATTTAGAGCACCTCAAAGTCCCTGCAAAGGAAAGATGTGCTCAGACCTCTGGAGCAGGGAGGGATTCACAAGTTCTGCATTTTATTCCCAACTGATTTTACCAACTCTGTGGTCAAGAGCTTTACCCTTACAATACCACTCCTTCCTCTTCTCAAGAGACACACATTTCCTGGAAGAGGTGAGAAAATGTCAGCTGTTCTCAGAATTTAAGGCAAAAGAGGACAGTTGCAAGCAGTTTTAAAAGCCACGTCACACAGGCCAACATGACCTGAGCATCCCTTTTTTTAAATGAGAAATGGAGAGAGAGAAGTGGTTCCAACTGCTGCCATCAGCTCTACCCGGACAGTCACGGGCAGGGCTTGGAGAAGCTCTGGGTGCTCACACCTCCGAGCAAGCAGCTGCCTACAGACTGCGGGTTAGCCCGGGGAAGCTGCACTGTGGAAGGACCTGTCTGTCAGTCAGCAGAAAGCAGAGCTCAGTGCAGAGCCAGAACTACGGCTGTCGGGCTCAGTCCAGCCTGAACCAGCCAGAATTACCTTGGACAGCCATCAGTGCAGCGGTGTGTGCCTGCCTGGCAGCACAGGGCTGCCCAGACTCTGAGGAAAGATTATTTAGTGCCCAGAGGGAAACAAGCAACAGTTCTGGTTATTTCTTTTGGCTATTTTATTGTTTGGTTTATGTCTCAGGCAGGACTGCGACGTGTTTGTAAATGGAAATTTTATTCCGTCACAGAAGTGCAGCTGGATGCAGGGCTGCTTTGTCAGGGAGCCACCAATTCGTTCCTTCTCCCTGCAGTTATTATTTCTCTTTGCTAACTCCAGGGGTCTCAAGGCCACCATTCAGTGGCACCAATCCTTTCCACCTGTCAAGGTAATTACGAAGAGGAGCTGCTCACAGCGCTGCAGAGCTCAAGGGGCAAAGGCAGCACGTCGAACCGGCTTTGCAACATCCCCGACTGCCTCCCCAGCGCAGCTCGAGCAGTGTCCATCTCAGAGGAGGGGCCATTCGCTGGGACTACACGTCTCAGAACAGAGCTAGAACTGCCATCTTTTACCATCCTTTCTCTAAAGCCATCACACAGCTTCACCAGCTCTGGTTATGAGGTGGGAAATGCATGCGGTACCTGCTCTGCCATGCCCCTCAGAATTATCCGACTAATTTTTTTTTTTTTCCCTTCATTCTACAACTGAACTTTTCCAAAATGTTTTGCATTCCAGACTACCAAATCCCATCCCTCTGCTGGGACTGCAACCATTAACAGGCATCCCTTCTCTAAATAGGGACTACAGCTATAGACTACCAAAAAAACCCCAAAAAACAACTGCTTACAATAAAAGGCTGTCTGTGGTTTGCTGTGTGACACAAGCCATGTCAGAAGCACTGCTGGAAGCATTTATATTCCGTGTTTGTTGCCCCTGTTTCACCAGCCTTTTCTAGATCCAATCAACCACCCAAAGCTTTGATTGGGTCATCTCAAGAGACCAGAAACATCCCCAACAGACTTTTGTGTCTTTCAAAATATTTACAGCCAGAAGCCAGATGATTTTTCAACCTATATTTTTTTCAGAATCAGGTTGAGAAAAAGACCAGCCTCATAACAACATTGTGTCTTTCCAAGCTAACTCGAAGGGGATCATTCTTTATTCACCAGGAACATGCCCACAGAAGAGCAGGAGAGGATTTGGAATTAGCTACCTGGCAAACGAGTTGCACAGTTCTTGTTCTCAATAAAAAAATTGCCTCCCTCTCACTTCCAGAAAGCACATAATTTCTTTACCTGCTAATATTCTTTGCCACTAATCCTCAGTGCGTCTGTCCAGACAAGTAGGCATTACACATTCCACTGGCAGGAGGAGAATAAATACTCAACTTGTCTGGGCTGACCCACAGCAGAGAAGGGAAGCCGGCATTTCACAATGCTAGCGAGAAATGCCTGCGCTGAGATACTGAGAGACTGGGAAAAGGCTTCACACACAAGCAAACGCAGCTCCTTTGCAGTTTTAATCATCATGGAAAACCAGTCAAAAGGTACTTTTCACAACTCTGTGCACTCAACAAATCCAAGAGCAGACCAACCTGCTTCTGACCTGTCACAGCAATTAGGTTGCAAAAGGTCAAGGTTTTTAATAACTCAACTGTGTTTGGGAGCTACTTATTACTGCTTCGTTCCAGTCAATTATTAGTAATGAGTAAAACACAAGCTCATTCTCCCAGGAACTCCAAGGGGAATGTAGGCACTGTGAAAAAAATTTAGCCCTTAAAACTAAACCTAAGACGCCCTGTCAGAGATCCTCCCCATAGGCCGTCACTGAATCGCATCCAGAGCAGAAACAGATGCTGAGGAAACCCAGAATTAGACTCTAACTTAATAAAATAGAAAAAAAAGAACCAACCCAACAACCTATTGACCTAACAGCCTCCAGCAGCAGGCGATTACAGTGTGCAGACAGGCTGAGCAGCTCAGCCTGGACCTATGTCCATCAGGAGCAGACGGAGCCGGTTGCTGGCTCCGTGCTAACCAGACCCAAGACCCTTGGAGAGGGATCACCCACCTGAGGAGGAGAGCTGGAGTTCACATTGTCTTTTGGTGGACTCAGGGAAGGCGCTTCTCCTTGAAAACCGCTACTGTTCTGGGGCTGACAGAGTTTCCTGAAAAACAGAATTTAGGGCTGTTCAAATCTCATGCTTGAGAAGCCAACAAGTGGTATTTCAAATCTTCCTGCAGAGGAAAGAGCCCTTTTCTAGGCTCAAATTCCAACTGTTTGAAGATGCCATTAAAGTAGCTTGTTCAGGCACTTTCAGTTTCAACCTCGGACAAAATCTAAGAAGAAATTACTACAGGAAAATATCAATCAGCGTATGGCAATTGCTTATCTCCTCCTTGCCTTCCCATGATTTTGTAATGCTCTGTGAATGGAGGTAACACCTTGCACTGACACTGCTGGTGGTGTGGCAGGGAGGGAGGCAGGCTGAGCTGTCAGGCACGAGAGAATTCCCCACTGAGGATGGAACTTAAGTTTCTGACAGTTTTACCTCTTTCCTCTTGAGCGGGTGACGTTAAGTATTACAACAAATTAATTACAACCTTAGAAGAATAATCCATATGCACATTAGTAAAAACTGGCATTGACCTTTAAAGTGTATAGGATGTACATATTCTTGCTATTGACTGAAATACAGCTCAATAAGCAAGACATTATTTAAACTAATTTCTGCTGAGTTTGCCTCAGTTACAACTGACTTCAGGAGACAATTCAGAAAGCAAGCACACCAAAATGGGGCCGAAACTCACATTCAGATGTTGGGGATTAAGTTCTCCCACTCATTAGCACCACTAAAACAACATTTTACAGGAACAGCAGTCCTCTTTCAGAAACTAGCCCCTCTGGGTCCAGGAAAAGCAGGATTGTAACAGGAACTGTTACAGTATTATGGGTCCACTAGGATTTACATTTAGGGCTTCATAATAATACTTCTAAATTGCATCATGCAAAACAGTGCTACGCCAGTCTGTATTTGAGGTATTTGACAAACAATAGGAACACCTCGTAGCAAAAAAAAGCACAATGCAAGTCATTCTAATCACGTAAGTGCATCAATTCACATTCACGCTAGGTATCTCTGCTCCCCACCGCCCAAGGGGCTCTCCAGAACTCGGAGTAAAGTGTCCCAGCACATCAGCTTTGCCCTACTCTTCCGACACCAGCCAGATTGCCCCCATCTATTAATCACCCAGGAAAAACCACTGTTGCATCAAGTTGCAGCTGTCAAGCTGAAAAAAAAAATATTTCAGGGTTAAAGGTTTTAATAAACTAGCTCTGCAGTCATTTTGTCACCAGCTGTACAGCCTAAATAACCATCATCTAAATTCTTCCACAAGAGGCTATAATCAGCTTTAAAGCGCACACATAATCTTGCCCAGCGTTTGAAAAAAATATTTCAGATCTAGACCCCACGACTTTTACAAGATTTTTTTCTTTTAACCTGAGCTTGAACCTGCGGCCGTATTGCAGCAACATTTAGACACCTGCAGTTTTGCCTTCCGCTGCTGCTTTGTTTGATTTTCTTTAGAACAATCTCAACAGCCACGGATCAATTCAAGAAAAGTACTCAGAGACTGCAAAAACAGGAAGGGGAACAGTGATATCCCATAAACACCACAGTGAAAGTGGCTTTTTGGATGCTGTTTGACTAGACTGAGCAACCTTGTCACATGCCCCAACATGTTAATTATGGATTTAAAAAAAAAAAGTGAATGAAAGACAACTACTTTCAATTCAGCAGCTCTGGTAAGGGCAGAAAACCATTTTGCTACAACAGTGAAAGGATAGGAAACACAGACAACACGAGGAAAAATGAGTTAGCCCAACGTGAGCGCTGTTAGGTACGGTTTTAATATTTGCAGATGTGCTAATTATTGCAGCCGTTGAACCATCAAGTGGCAACTGGACCTGAAAACAGAGAGAACATTTAACAATTGGCTGGATCTAGGCAACCACGTAAACTACCACAGCCAGCTACGTAAAGTCCTACGTCTGGTGCCTGTGCCCTTTTTGTGAATGTTTTTCTACTGTCTTCAACCCTACATGTTTTTTCCATTTTGTAGCCTCATTACCTGCATTGGCTGAGTGGGTCTTTGTTTGTACAGTTGAATACATCCTTTCCAAGGTCTATTTTTAGACCTTTGCATAACTGAATGCCACAATTCTAGAAAAAGCAGTAAACACTGCTTTCTGCAGGGAGAAATTAACTTTTTTGAAAGCCATAAAGACTGCGCGGCTGTTGTATTTTTCCTTTTAATTATAATTCAACATCAAGGCCATTTAAATGAGTTTGATTTTTTTTTTTTTCTTTAGCACGCCAAAGCACTTTTAAGTGCAAGTTTCTGTTGGTTTAACAAAGCCTCATCTCCAAGCCAACTGTGCTTTCAAATCATGGAAACTGTTCAAACAGAGCATGCTCCACTTAATCTTAACCAAAAGTACAATAAAGTCAGTCTCAAAACCAAGTCAAGTAAAATCTCTATCTGCATCTCAAAATTTATACCAAGGCAACAGAAACACACTGAAAACCCAGAGAGGGAAATAAAAACACTCAGAGCAGAATTCTCCTTTAGGAACTGGGAGATATGTTCTCTTTTCCTGCTGCCTGCCAGCCAAAAGCTTCCAAGCTTGGAGGCTTCACCTAAGGAAAAAATATCTGTAGAGGAAAACCAGTGAGACAAATTGATAACCTCAACCAACTCATAATAAGGGCTGTTTTCAGGAAGGAACATCAGAACAGGTATCCCCTGGAGAGTGATTATTACACTGTGTGGGCAGAAGGATAGCCAGCACGTGTTTTAGGGGACTTCTCTTTCCTGAACTGCCTCGTGTTTTTCACACGTCCTTTACTCCAATCAAATTGTCATCTTGCAGGGCAACTGTGATACTAACCGAATTTCCAACACAGGAGAAACACAGTAAACGAACATCCAAACAACACTACAGAAATTAAGCAGCAAAGTCTCCAAAGCAAAGAGCTCAAGGGGAACAGGGACACCCACAGGAAGGGAGCACAAAGAGGCTGAGCAAGACAAGCTTAGGGGACGTGGCTTCACCATAACGTCCCTCTCCCCGTCTTCAAACACGGAGCCTGTGCATGAAGCCATGTACCAGGTACAGAAAAAAAAAAAAAAGGAGAGTTTCAATGGAGAGTTGAGCTGGACACGTTTGCCTTAATCCTTTCATCACCCAGGATTTTAAACCACCATTAAGTGTAATAGCTTGTGTTCCCCATTCAGATTTTTCCCCCCAGCTTTTAGTATCATGATTTATAGGATGATCTGAAGAGTGCATTCACTCTGATATTCAAGTTTAGTCAACATTTACAGCTGCCTGGACGATAAATAGATTTACTTTATGTTAAAATAAGTCAAACACTCAACTTACCGTAGTTCTACTGACTTTGGTTACCCTGATTTATAGCAACTGACCTGGTTCAGTATTTTCAAGCTCCAGATGTTATTAACAAAGATGGAATAATTACCGAACAAGTATCCTCTTCAACAACTGCTGATCTCCTTCAGAGTAGCCAGGCCAGTCCTTCTGCACTTCTTTGTATACACAATCTTTCAGTGTGAAAGTGCTGTCCTTGGCACTCAAATTTGCCACCTGAAACAAAAGTAATTTGAAAAAAAAACAACCAACAAACCTGTTAGGGTTTAATTTTCTCACTTGTTCTAACAAAAAAGATGTAGACAAAAAAAACCCCCTCAGACCTGTAGTGTCAGAGAACAAGGAGAGACTTTATACTTCATTTCCCAATTATTTGGATTATTTAATCAAACTGTGCCTTTCTTTTTGCCTTGTCATTGCAGTAGTTTATTATGAGTTTCCAAAGCATATCCAGTCTACTTGGAAACAAGTCATATCTAAACAGATTATTCAGCTTGCATAGTCTGGAATGGTACAACATCAGTTTATGGAAATACTTGGAAATAAAGTCTAATGGGAACAGGCAGTTCACTTATCACACCTGTCCGATAGCTAAAATGGTGCAGTTTATTAGCTGATAGAGGAACTCTTGCCGTGATAGCTTAGTTAACAATTGCCAGAAGATAATTTCTCACTAACAAGCCAGTAAAACAGGCGACAGAAAGCTCCTTTCTCAAGGAGCAGTGAAGAGAATGCCTTGTAGACAGAACACATTAGGGACTTGCAGATGACACTGTGCAGTTTGGTGTGTCCAGCTCATCTGCTGGATTTCAGAGGAGAACTTTTCTGAGGACTACTTGAGGGTAAGAACAAAACCTGTGATTACCAGCTTACGGCCCAGGGTTTTACAATAAGGCACTGCACCTAAATCACGTGCCGCAGTTAGCTCGGTACACTTGCATGAGAAGCGTTCTGACATTTTATCCAGTTCTGTCATGTGTAGTTTCCCCACAAAAACTGTGTGGTGCCTACACGGGTAGGAAACACTGCTGAAGCCAGCAGAATTGTATTAGAATGGAAACAAGTTGTTAAGAGTTATCCCACTTTAATCAGTCCTTCCACAGCTTGACTAAGAATTTAACTTCTTGCTGCTGGTTACAAATCTGACAAATACAGTGTTAGCACAAACCAAAAAGCCTCAATTAAGCTTTTGCAGATATTGTCTTTGAACCCTTCTTAGGTGATTGTAGAGCACTAAAAGTTTAGAATGAAAACAAAGCCTTAAATTTGATTTTATAAGAGGGACATGGAGGCAGAGGTGCCAAGTGCTGTGCCCACAGCAGGCTGATCAACCGGCAAAGCCAGCAACCGTGTCCCAAATTCACCGCCTCAGCCGCTCAGTTTGACAACTGTATTACACTTGAACCTGGAAGATGCTTTTATTCAGTCAGGGGAGATATTGTGCATCTGTTTAAGGATTAGTGTTCTCCATTGCTCGCTCCATTCAGGAGACTGTTGTGCTTATGAATTTTTATTACCTGTGCAGCAGCAAGACAGCCTCAGAAAAAAAAAAAAAAAAAAAATCAAGTGAAGGAGTGGAAAGTCTCGAATTAACTGAAGATGCTGTTAATTCTTCTGCTTTTGCTTTAGGAAGACTATGACCTAATATTAAACCCCTAAGAATTTAAAAGCAAAAAGCTGCAGAACTAATACAGCAAAGCTCTCCTGATAAGCGAAAAATAGAAAGCAGAGTTATCAGTTTACATGACGAACACTTTGTTTTTCCTTTCAGTTCTGTCAGCTTTCCAAAATCCTGAGCCAAAATACAAGAAGAATTTGAGCTGTGTTTTACATTTAGATATCCCAGTAAACATGCCCAAGAGACAAAAGCAAAGCCAGGTTGTTTTTCAAAAACTCTGAGAATCTCTCCGCTTACTGTTTCTTTCTGCAGCGGGAGCCACGCTGCTCAGCAAGGCTTGTAGCCCAGGCAAAAGAACGACGCAGATTTTTCTCTGCGCAGAGGCTGGGAGCTGCTACCTCCTTGTTTTGCTGGTGTGGGGCTCTGCAAGCTCCACCCTGGGCCTCCCAAAAATAGAAGCCTTGCAAAATGAGGCAAAAAGGCCAGCAGGAACACAGAGTCCTATGAGAGATGCAAGAGTACAATGAAACCCACACCTAGACGTATTTAGACATGTAGCTTTAATGCAGCCTGTAATTTTTAGCTTATCTGTGTCTGCCTGTGGATGGGAGCCCTGGTAGTGCTGAAAGGAGATTAAGTTTACGAGCAATACATTTACAGCCAAATCAGCATTTAGCCCAATCAGGCTGACACTGTGGACACTGCCAAACACACCACTTGCCTGCTAGGGGGTTTTGAGAGCATCAATAAAAGGTGATTATCAGAAAACAGTATTTCTAATATTAAAATCTAGTTATAGCATTCAAAAAGGTGCTCAGAAGAATTCAAGCGCTGCTGGAAAATTAAGGGCTACAGGATTATAACCTAGGGAAGGAGGAAGTTGTGCCAGCAATAACTCCATTTTCAGTATGACCTGCCCTGTGCCCTTGGGCAAACTAACTCCTCACTCTCTCATTCTTTTCAGGTCTGAAAAGGAGTTAAAAAAAAATATTCAATACAGAAAAAGGGTAGCTGCAGCATTTAAACAAATATCCATGATGTGTTTTGTACCGTGAGAGCAATAAAGGTATTTACTGCAATTCCTAAAATGGCACCTTCACCATGACTCAAAGTGTTAAGAACTGATTCAGCTCGGAGACAGCTTTCACACTTGACATACAAATAATATGCTTTGCAAGAAGCTGCATGATCTTCACACCTAACAAGTTACACTTCTAAGCAGGGAAGGCATGGGTCTGAACAATACAAAGATGTAAAGCTTAAGGGAGAGGAATGTATTTTTTCCTTCGCATAGGAAACATGACTTGTATCAATACATAAAGGAACATGTTCTGTCTACGTTAACAAAAATATAAAGATTTATAGGTTACAAATCAAACAGCTCGTAGATTCTCTGTTAGACAATTCTCCCTACAGCCAAGCAAAAGTGTTCCTCTTAAGTGACTGATGTGGTGAACCAAAAATCATACAGCTTAGTTGCAAACACCTAAACCAAGGCTCACACCTGAGAGAGGCTCCTGCTGCGCCCAGCAAAATAGTCATGTCAGCTGCAAACTTCTGTCAGACACGGCCCTTAGAGAAACATCCAGCTGCAGCTCTGAGACACACAGGTTACGTTCAGACTAACGCAGAAGGTACCACCCTTCTGAGAGGACATTTCCCTTTACCTAAATTGTTGCCTTCAGAGTACAAACCTGCTGCAGAAGGTTGTCCAGCAAATCCTTGTCCTGCTGAGAAAGTCCATCCTTCTGCAATCTGAGAATAAGTTCAGGTTTCTTATAAGGCTTTAGTGCCAGTAAGTGCACAACCCTATCTTTGAAGGGTCTCTGAGAAATCGCACTATTGCCTCTCTTTATTGCACTGGCAAGGTTGACTGGCGTTGGGCGCTTCCTGGAGGGAACAGCATCGGAAGCTCCTGGTGCAGGTTTACGCACCTGAACCTTTTTGCCTAAAATGAGATGAGAATAGTGAACTGCAGCAGTCACCTTGCAAAGGCCAGTGGTCTGTCAACATGTATAATGGAGTTCATTACACCACCTGAAGTGCCACAAGATGACAATGAAGGACAAACACAACCAGCACACCCCATCCGTTCTGATGCACTGCCGGAACGAGCATCCTGTGAGTTTTATGATTCATGACAAGCTTGTAACAAGTAAACAGCAACACCAAGCTCTCGAAACCTGAGTATTATTGGCCACAAGCTTACATAAAGCTCTCTTTGTTCGCCAGCTTTTCATTTATCCCAAGTGCGTGTATTCCCATGGTTAATCTAACCATTTTTTCCCTCCCTACGAGAAGAAAATTCTGCATTATTATGCAGAAGAGTCGAAATATGGAGTGGAAAGACCAGAACTGGTCAACGAGCGGCTCCCTGCTGCTGATCTCAGCAAAAATGCTACTCCAGCAGATGTTTCTGCTTTTAGAACAATAGGAACTTTATGGAGCTGAGTCCACCTCCCTTCCCCCCGCCAAACACAGCCACATGAATGGGGTCTAACGCTGCTACATTAGCCTATTCATTAGTGTGCTGTCTGTTCTAATAGAAAAACCCTTTCTACACTGTAGTAATAACTGCTCTGCCCTCCAATTGCATTTACGTACACATGAGAACATAAAGCTGTCTCAAAAGTTCATCTCAAGCCCTCAGAGGCAACTTCCTCATCTCCATCCCAAATGTGGTTCTTGGTTTCTGACAGCATTACACAAGAACTCATTTTTCCCATTCCTGTTGAAAAAACAGCTTCAACTAGAACCCTCACACAAGTCCCACATCACTTAAAGCACGCATCAGATCATTTCACTATTCTGAATACTGAAACAGGCCACAAAGCCAGGTTCCTGCAACCAAAAGGTGAAACCAACAAATCAAAAAGGAAAACAGTAGGTTCCAAGGTCTAAAACATGGAAATGCAATTGATAATCACTTCGGTTCAAGCAAGTGACCTTCACTGGGACAAACAACATCCAGCATTTACTGCAAGAATTTTGGAGGTTTATTTCAGCGTGGCAACTCTCCACTGCTAGGAAGCAATGTTTTCAACTGAGTCATCTGAAGATACTGGTGATTGTCTGTCGTGTTTATTTTACTGAAATGTAGATTGCATAACTGAGTCCCCACTTCCTGGCTTCTTATTACGCACCATGCTGATGCAAGTAAGTACGACCCATCGTCGGCAAGGCTGAGTTAAGATGAGAGGGAGAAAAACAACAATTCACGTGTTAAACAACCCAAAATTCAGAGGTCAACTGGACTTCATTTCCAGAAATGGGACAAGAGAAGATTCGTCAGCTTTCTAGAACTCCCTTAACTCTTGCCAGGTCATGAAGAGAAGAAACACATTGGGACATTTCCACTTAGGGCTGGAGCCAAAATGTGCAATGATAGGAAAAGAAAAAAACCCTAAGTTAAGCCAGAACATGAATTCTTTTAAAATATTTATTCATGTGCATATATATAGATGTACACATACACACATTTAGCGTGTATGCAAGCACACACATCCCCCTGCAGACATATCAGCTATCTATTTACATATATATTCGCTCAAGTGTTAGTTCACATCTATACTATTCCGTTCATCTCCAATTTCAACATTTCATATAAATTCTTCCACATCTGAGCTGCCTGGAATGACTCCACTGACGTTTAAGTGCTGAGCTCCGTGTTCTCATGGAAATGTGAGCCAGCCTTCTCCCCCCAGAGCAGCCTGCGAGCGAATCAGCTGATGGTGCTGGCACACCGAGGCCGTGCGTATCCCACAGGAGGACTGGCCTTACCCAGGCTCTTCTTTCTTGGACCAGCACTTTTCCTCCCCTCTTAAACACTGACATCTTACACATGCAGCAGGCACTCCATTGCTTTTTCCCCCGTTGAGCCTCCATTTCGGAGAGGTAAACGTTTCAGCAAGAGTATTTTTAAATCAAAAGTTTTGCTCTGTCTTTCCGGGAAGCAGTTTGCTTTGAGAATCTTCTCCCCCACAAGCCTAACAACTTCATCCACTTACTGTAATGTTCTCAAATGTAAGCTAAACAAAATAATCTTCTAGTCTACAGGAAATCAATGCATTTCCTTCCTGATTACTATCTTATTTCTCAGCTTTGAGCACTTGGCTGATAAAACAATGAGTCAGGGTCAGTTCTACATTTTGCAACTCACCATTCTCATCACAGACATCCTCTGAGAAGAGACTGGCTACAGATCACATGGGCTAGAGAAAAAACAGCTGGTTCAAAAAAAAAAAAAAAAGGAAACTCTGCTTTTCTGGTTAGTGTTTGTGTCCTAAGTTTGTGACCAGACTGAGGTTAAACAGGAACCTGAACCCAAAGCTAGGTCTCTGCAGGCTCCTCCTGGAGCCCACTGATATTTGCCACAGTTTTTATTTCCTCCCCAAGATTCTCCTTTTATTGTTTAAGATGGTTTAAGGCTGCAGTCAGCAGCACCACTTTAGTCTCTTTGTGTATGAACACAAGGGCTCTGCTATCCACATCCTAGACGTTGTGAGTTACAGTCTCAAGTGCAGGCACACACCAGCTGCCTGCCAGCAGCGGTGGCAGGTTTTAGCTGACTTGGCAAGGAGCACAGCCACTCCTGACAGGTCAGCAGCGTGGTCTCAGCAACACCACCTGACAAACACGAAATAATGCCAGAGAGATGTGACTGCACACAGACGATCCTCAGAGGCTGTGCAAACATCACCACACATGTTCCAGGGTGAAGATGAAAGCCATGGAGTCTACAAGGAGAGCAGCACCCTAATAAATCAAGACACCCGCGAGGAACTACCAGGCACTTATTAAATATCTCAATGGTCAAGCAAACAAACATCAGCATTTGACTTTGTAAGCTAGTGAAGACACCCCCAAATCAAGTTGCTGCTTACCTACGTATCTCCCCCCAGGTTTAATGACTATAGCGCTGCGGCTGCGAGTCTCCTCCTCTGCCTGTGCCATGCTTTGCCTTGCCTTCTGGTAGGAATCATCAGTAGCACACACGGTGATTTTATCCTGTATGCTTCCAAGGCAATCCAAATGGATATTGCCGTTGCTGCAAAAGAAAGGCAATGGAAAAGATACTCCCAGCACTGCAAAGGAGCACATCTGTCACTGGTGAACAACTGGGGGGTGTGTTATCTAATTCAAAAGAGGGAACAGAAGGAAGCTGGGCAGTAAACTGATTCTTCTACGAGTGCCTCCTTACTCAAATATACACATGCAAACAGATTAGAAAGTCTCTGAAAAGGATGAACGGATGATTAAGTTTTGTTCGGGTTTGCTAGGGAAATGAGCCTACAGAAGATACCAAAGAAAAAAAAAGGGGGGCTAGATTTTCTTTTGCTGTACCACTCACCTAGATACATACTGCTGGATACAGTCAAAGCTCCCTTGGGGGCTGTCTTTGCCAATATTTGAAAGATAAAATGTGAAAGTCCGCACTTCCGTGGGTCGATCAGGCCTTGGAATTGTGATATGCTGTTTGGAAGGAGAGAAATATTGGTCACTCGGGTAGTCCACATGAACGCAAAATTCAATTTTTCAGCAGTCACCATGCTTTTAGCCATTTTGCAACCCATTACAAGTAAAGCATATGGATTACTGCATAGGAGGCTATGAAGAGCAAGAAGCTACAAGAAGAGTTCAAGTTAGCAAAACTGTATGCACTGAAAAGATAAGGTAACAGAGGTAGACAGATGTAAAGAACAGCTACAGAGACAGCTATGTCTAAACAAGACAGATCTGAGTTGCCAGCTCACTGCCTTTCAAAGCAGAGCCCACAATAATCTTGTTCTAGGAATCTGACCCAATTCTATTGATCCAGGCTCAAAACAGACTTGCTACCACTGTTTATATTCAATTTAAAGCACTTGAGATTTGTTTCTTTAGAATTAGTGATCCAGCACTAAACATAGTACAAGCCAGGTCACTAGGTAGCATGCTTATTCTTTTTTAAGAGATTATAATTCCATAACGAGATTTCATGGCTCACGGTAGAGTGTGACGCTGCTGCTAAATTAAATATTTAATCAAGCATTAAGTGTGCTCCGCAGACAACTCTACAGCGATCTGCACTGTTTTTCTCCCCCCAGCCATTCATTTTTCAAAAAGGAAACCGTTTCCCCTCCGTGTTCAAGATCCAACACAAATCTCACCATCTGAGCTCTACTATCACATCAATATTTGATAATTAAGATGGCTTCCAGAAAATGAGACAGAACATCAGTTTCAACCTATTTTAGGCCACTCTCTACCACACAGATTTATATTTAACCAGATTGCCACATATATGCACAAAATATACATGCCTAGCAAACCAACTTGTGGCATCCACATATGACTGTGCTCCATAAAAGATTGCTGCTGGTACAGAAGGGTTTCTAGGTGGTTTCCCTTTGACCTCAGATGTCTACAGCAGCCTGGAAACCCAGTGCATCTGTGTCACTTTGCTAAACCACAGGGATGTTCTCAGAAGCAGCAAGAAACGCTTGTATGACCTGCATCGAGTCGAGCCAGTGCAGCATTTTCCATTTACTCTGTCAAGACCAGCTCTCCTCCAGCCAGCCCTCAAACAGACTTCCCTTCTTTTGGAACAGCAAGCCAAGACACCCAGACTTATGCGATACAGAAGGGCAAGTTATCCCCTCACAGACCTAGGATTCGGATCTAAAAATACACGAAGCAGATTTGGTGGCGATCCGGGCGCTGACGGGCAGCGCTGACCCCCCAGCAGCAGCAGCTGAGCCCTGTTATCTCCCCTGCCAAACATGCGCCAGCAGCCTTGAGCCCTTAATCTGGCCCAGCACCCTCTGCCCCCACCCATCCAGAACAAATAAAATTCTCTTCTGCTTTACAAGCGAGCCGAGAATATGCACGAAGTCAAAGTTATGTAAACAGCAGATTGTGGGTATTTTACAGTTGGCACCTTTCACCCCCCCCTCCCCGAGTTAATTTGCTGGGAACAGGGTAAGAAGGTAAATGCAACGGGTCTGTTCAGCTCCTAGCGCTGTTTGTTGGGGGAGCGAGGTGTGCTGCAGGCAAGGGTTTGTGAAATAAAACCCGGAGGATGTAACCAAACCATATATTCACACACTAAAACAACCTGCTTCTAGCTCCTCATTTACCATTGTAAAAACCAGCTGCTCTGAGCGCCCCAACTTCGGCATTTTTATAGTTTCTGCAGCTTCTTCAAAGGATGTAAAATGAGACAGGAGTGAGAGTCACTTAAGCGTTGAATGTTGCTCGTTCCAGTACTGAAAAGTGTAGCATATGCAAACTGGCCGTTATCTAGGAATTATTTTTAGCTGAAACAGAAGCTTTCTCAAGCCACCAAATCAGCATGGTAACTGCTTTGAGGGAGCCCTAATTTTGGTGCTGAGTATTACACCAGTAACCATAGACACTTAAAAATAGCTCAGTACAGATGTGACTTCTGTTTTTTTTTTTTTTTCTTTCAAGTAATATTCATCCCTGTACAGCTCACTCTGAATGGCAATTTCACCTTCTTCTATTAATACCAGCAGAAGTTCATCCCAAGAAAGAGGAAATCATCACATTTTCCAATCACATCAAGTTAAGACGTTTTGTTCCTAACAGTCATGTTCAGGAAAGCTGCATGAACATACATGTACTTGGCACCCAAAGGTGGTGTGTTTTTTTTTTTTTCCCAGCTCAGTTCCTTTCCCTACTCCCCTCCACCCCAGTAAGCACCTGCAAATTTGACCCAACTTAAGCTCCAATTCTGCACATGCTCTTACCGAAATAGAAGCATCTTCAGCCTTTCTTGTACAGTTATGGGCACCAACTACCACCATTTGCAACACTTTGGTACTCAAGCTCTTAAATTTCAATGGGCATGTAAATTAGAATAAGTAAAATGCTCAAGACTCCATGTAAACTTACAAAACTATCCAAGAAAACCCAGTTCACAATAAAAAACTAACAAACAGGTGCTGCTCTTAAGGAATATCCAGAGTTCCACTTTAGCATCTCAAAGCAGAGTAACACTCTGCTACTTATGACCAAGTGACTACTCTTGAAATCCTGATTATTACACAGATTACTGCACTGAAAAAGTAATTAACAAGACTAGCATTGCTATCAAGAAATGCATCCCAACGCAAAGATCATTTACAGTCCATAGTTTATAAAAACTCTCATGAGAACCAATGCAGAGGTTCCATGCAGGATGTTTTACCCCCTGTCACTGAAACATCCTTTTTATTTTGGGCTAGAAGCACCAACATCCTCCTTTCAGCACCTGCCTGACAGAGCTGACGCCTTGCTGACCCTGGCCAGTTTTATTCCTTGCCAGTTCCATTCTTCAGTTAATTAGAGTGTTAAACATGAAAAAGTTTTCTTCTGTGTAGTAGAAGCTGACAGTATCCTTGACAGCGCTCATTAGACTAACGCTGGGAATTGGCAAAAGAGATGGACACCATAATTTAAAAAAAAAAAAAATTAAAGGTTTTTAAATTTAAAGGTTTCTAGAGAATTAAGGAAGCAGCAGTTTGTTTTAAACTCTTATGTCCTGCCTCCCACAATCACCGAGTACTTCCAAGTTTTTCCTTCTTGTGAGAGGGATATTTAGACAGGAAAAAAAAAAAAAAAAAAAAAAAAAAATATTCAAACCTTGTGTCACTGGACGCTGCTTTAAATCATGCTCTAACATTTGTGCTACACACAAAACCTACCACCCTCAAAAGTTAATGGGAAATCTCCATAGCAACGTTTATTAGGAAGGCAACAAATTGGGGAATTAAGGTATAGTGGAAGAAAGTGTATTAAAAAAAAAAAAGTTAAACAAGGTACATTTTAATGTCATCATCTGAATCTGAGAACTTGTTAAATTACTGAAATTATCTTTTCAGTCCAACTGATAAGGAGGCTCACTAGAAAGCCTTTAAAGCCCTGCCATCAATTCCTTAAAGCAGGGCACAATCGTGACATGTATGAATCCTACACTTAAAAACAGATGGTTACGCAGCTGCCAGCTTCTTGTCATACCCAGTAAAAATAATAATAAAAGGACAAAGAGCTCTTTCTATCTGCCCCAATTGAACTGGATCTTGCTTTCTTCAAAGCTCTACCTTTGGCCTTTACTCGACAGTGCAATTAATTAAACAGCTGAAAACGAGGCAAGCAGAGGTCAGCTCTGTGCTGCCAACATCCTCCTTCACCCACAACGCCCCGGCGCTGCTCACACGGTGCAGGGCTCCACGCGTTGCTCTTCACACAGCAACCTCAGACACAAGCGTGCTGCTGGGCTCCTTCTCCATCCAACCCCGACTGTAATTACAGGTGACTGGCAGCTCCTTCACCAAAAACTCTTCTCTAGAAGTTAAGGGCTCAAATACAATTAAGTGCATTAAATATTTAATTTTTATAAGGAGCTGCATCATTTGAAAATATGTTTAATTATTGTAAGGAGCTGCATCATTTGAAAATAAGGTGTCTTTTTATTATTATAAGGAACTGCATCATTAGAAAATAAGGTGTCTTTTTTATTATAAGGAACTGCACCATTAAGGTCTTCTTTTATTATAAGGAACAGTATCATTTTAAAATGGGTTTTGTTTCAGTTAACCTGAAAATGCCTGGGTCCATATGTATCAGAGCCACGTGAAACCCACTACAAGGAGAGCACAGAGGCTGAGGGCAGTGGAGTGGTTTTAAGCTGTTCTGATTCATTTTGCTGCATTTCCTTCCAGGAAGAAGATTAAGTAAGAGAAGGGGTATTTCTAGAACTTAAGCAGCTTTACAGGAAAAGTTAGGTGTAGACCCTCACAAGGTGCTCTTCAAAGGGAAAGGAAAGCATTTGCAGTCTTTTTAGCTTCTTTATTACATGAAAAGCTGTTTGCTCATCTCAGAGCAACAAATCATGCACACTTTAAAGTGTTCCTTGTCACTGGCTTCTCATTTTGCCAAACTTCAGTTGCAGATTTTTATCTAAGCTTTCATGCTGAGCTTTCTGGGAAGTTTAATTGTAAACACAGTAAAAAACCTGGAAATTGCCCCTTTCTTTATTTCCCAGGGCAAAAAGGTTTGTATTTTTCTTCTTAACTTATGATAACAATCATGTCTTTCCTGCTACATTTTGTTAGAGTGCTATGTACTAATAGTGAGACTAATATCACAAGGTAAAAATATGGGCAAGGAGAAATGTGCTAGACTTTAATGGCTACTTAATTCAAGGCATTTTGAAAGTTTTATTGTACCACCACAAAGAATCAGGACATTATTTACAGCTGAGTTCAGATTCTTGAAAAAAAAAAAAAACAACCAAACCCAACCTAAATTCCCCTTCCTTATGCAGAGCACCAAAGTTAAACACACACCTTCTTGTATCTAAAAGATATATAACTGACATTTTTAAAGTTCACTGAAGAGTTGCATTACTTTACCAGAAACACTACCAATTAAATCTCAACGTTGTCAGTAACTGGCATGACAGACGGTTTCAAGCGTCTATAAATACCCTTTTCATTGTAGATGAGATCACAGATTTTTAAGAAGGGAGGAGCAAATATGACAATCCTGTAAGAAGATACTTAAAACATTTCCTTTGTCAGGATGATGCAGATATTTTAGAACTAAGTCCCCATTTTACAATAAAAGATAATTATTATTATATCAAATCGTTAAAAATTGGACAGAGTACTGAAACCTATGAAAACATGCAAAGTAAGTCTTCACAAAATGCACTTCTCTTAGAATGTGTATGCGCAGTACTCTATGGAAGCTGATAAGCAGAGGTTATTAATAAAGCTGTGACACATTGTAAGGGAACTGAAGGAAGTAATGCTTCAAACATACATCGACACAGAAAACCTCACCTGTGGCCTTTGGATTACTCTGAGGAATGTCACCCAAGGAATCGGGAATGTATCGAAGGATGCACCCCCTACGCCTTGCAGTTGCATTGACAAAACCCTTAAATAAGTCTCAGAGCAGGAGGCATGGACTAAACCAGGTGCTTCCCCTCAAGCACAAGTACCGCCAAGACTGATACTTTGTGGCTGCATTGTGTAAGCCAGACGCCATTCTTGCCTTGCTAATGACTAATGGGCCTTCACCAGTGAAGCAGTAACAAGAAATTATTGTAGGTGATCATTTCTGGGATGACTGATAAGATCTCTGGGAACAGGGGAAAAAACAATGCTGGACAACTACCGCAAACTCAATGGGAACCCATGCACCACCTTTTTCCTCAACTCTAATGGAAATGAATTTGTGGAATACCTGCCCCTCCTCATCTAGTATGCTAATGAGTTAATAGGATGAACTTAAAAAATGAAAGAGAAACTTTGCTCTGTGTGCACCCACCATTGAAGCTAGATCTGTGGGTATGCAGCACCCAAGATTATTGGACCTGAGACAATGCTGGAACCAGGGGTGGTGACTCAGATTTGTTTGACTCTGTTTCTCTTTTTCTCTTATATTATTTCTTTTCTTTCACAGAATCATAAAGGTTAGAAAACACCTTGTAGATCATCCAGTCCAACCATTAACCTAGCACTGACAGTTCCCAACTATACCATGTCCCTCAGCGC